TCGGTAATCTCTCCCGGCCAAAGGTCGGAATCAATCGGCTGTCCTCTTGCCGGGATAATTATGCAAACGGCGACACGCGCGAATGCACACAGTCGCATCCGCGGGCGGTGCGCGATCATATCGCGCGAACGAGCAGCCGCGGCGGCATGCCTCGTGTTTACATATGCAGATGCGCGCGCGAGAACGAGCGAGCGAGCTAGCGTGCGTGAGTGAGCGAGTGAGTGAGTGAGTGCGCGCGCGCGCGCGCGCGCGCTTAAAATTCAAATCGCGTCCGAATCGCTTCCGAACAGTCGCCGTCGCCGCTGCTGCCTCGTGTCGCGAATCGCCGAAATTTCACGGCGCGCTGTGACACTCTCGACCCGCTTTTCGGGGCTGACTACTTGGCTCCAAGAAAAATCCCGCGCCGCTTGGAAGCGTTCCAGCGGCCGCGCGAGCCCCGCTGTCCGAAATTGGCGGCCGATCGCGCCGGGGCTGTTTAACATCCGACGGAATATTCTCGCTGGCGTGTCGACATTTTTCGCGCGGTTCGTAAAGAGAGGTTCCCCTGCCCCCGGGCGAAACGTCGGCTGTTGATGACCTTATTATCTTAATTTAGTCATACAGCATGGGGGCTCTCTACGTTGAATGTTTCTTGGGGATCCTTTAATCCCTAAGCCCTTGCGTTCACGCGCGTCACATACACGCTGCCGCCGGGATCCCACGACCCACTTTCTCGCGAAAAAATGTTAAACATTGCATTTTGCAGGGGAGGAATATTTCATGCGGAAAATTGTTTCTCCATAAAGACGTTTGGAGGAACGCGCAAAATTTTCATCGAGCTTACGATGCGAGTTATTAGTGCGAGATATAAAAAAAGCATTGTTATGGAAATATTAGCTGTTTGAGACGTTGACTTTGGGAGCAGCTTCCTCCGCGAGCACAAGTTTAGCCGATAACGGATTTAAGAGACGAGAGCATCCTGCATAATTTATGAATCGTCTTATATCTCGCTGCTGACCTTTCCGACGAGGGAAGGAGGAAGAAAGAGAGAAAGAGAGAGGGAGAGGGAGGAGGGAGAGGCTAAAATGTAAACGGACAGTTAATGAAAAGCATACGGAAAATATTTATATCCTCTGAGCAAAACTTCGCCAACTCGGAGTCGCGAGCGTCTCTCCCCTTCCCCTCTCTGTATACCTTCTTCCTATCGCAGCGGTGCAACGAGAGCATGCTACGGGGGACTTTCATTGTTTCCGATTCGGTATTGATCACGAAGCTGCGCGATTATTAAGAATCCGAAGCCGAGAAACGCGTGATTCGGCCCGGCCCGGGCATTATCCGCCGTTCGCTTCGTGAGTTGACCAGATTTGCTACTCGACGCAATTACATGGGAAATTTGTTTCGCGCGCTTGCGAGAGAGAGAGAGAGAGAGAGAGAGAGAGAGAGAGGAAAAAAGAGAAAAATATTTCGACAAGTCGTAATTTTCCAGTGTTTCAGAAACGCGCGCGCGTTCAATTCTCCCGATCGCGAGCGCAATTTTCCCGATGTTCCTTTATCTTCCGCGACAAACCTAAAGGGGAGACAAAATAAGCGCGCACGCGCACACCTCGACAGCTCGGATCTCGACGTGTTTCTCCCCCGGCGCGGACGCGCGTCAAACGCGAAACACGGATTGCGAGCGAACGAATCAAGCCTCTTAGCTCGTCGTCGCGAATTCGCGGTTCTCTCGGGAGAGGCGCGTCCTCAATTCCGCGGTGCGAGCGTTGCGTAAAAATCCATAATTATAGTCTCGCTCTCCGCGAGAGAGAGAGAGAGAGAGAGAGAGAGAGAGAGAGAGAGAGAGAGAGAGAGAGAGAGAACTGTTCCATCCGCCTTCCTCTCCTTCTTCCTCTATCTCTCTCGGGCACAACCCGTCGCGCGACGCAGGTCGCAGGGTTCTCCGACTCCGACGGAGTTCCGCTGGAGAATGTTCTTGCGGTCGCGGGGATGCGGGGGGACGGAGGAGCACATTATTTAACCGCCGGCGTGGCGCGCGGTAAGCCCCCGCCGTGTAGCCGTGCCGCCGGCTAACAGAAAACCTTTTTGCTTTACATTTCATTATGTTTCATTACCGGGCCGGCGAAGTGCGGACTAACTCACGCGGCGGGCGCGAGTTATGGCTTCGCGAGCTAGTTCGGCTACCGCTCCCGTCGCGTACTCGGGGACTCGTTCGTTTTTCAACCCGGTGACCCTATTTCGCCGCCATTGTCTCCGGGAAGCAGAGAAACGACGAGGGAGATGCGACCGCGGCGACGGCGACGGCGACGGCGACGGCGACGCGGTGTACAAACGATCGCGGTCGCGGACGTGGTTTTCGGACCCGGGGCCTCGTTGCTTCTTGAGAGGCTGATTAATTTAATGGCCGCGGCGGGCTGATGCCTCCTCTCCTTTCAATCTCCTCTCTCTCCCCCCTTCCTCCCTCCCTCCCTCCGCCAGTCTCCGTCGTCCTCGTCCCGGTCTCTCTATCTCTCGTGGGTTTGTTAACGCGATTCTCCAGCGGTGTCTTCGAACTTCGCCTTTCCGCGCGCGCTTTCCGGTAAGCAACAAGTTGTCGTAAATCTGATTACTGGTTGGCACGTAAATAATGAAAAGCCCGAGAATCTTGTCCGAGAGGAAGGGCTTTGCATGAATTTAAAGGCCGGCGGGCGAGAGCGCGTGCTCGCATACTCGCGGATATTTCCTCGCCGATTCCGCGCGACGGATGGACTTTGGCGCGATTATCTCTTCTGAAGAGACGGGCATCTCGCGTGATGGTTATCTATCTTCGTTCCGAGAGCATCTCGCTTGTTATTTTCATAGACAGTCGCGCTCCGAGCTCTCTCTCTCTCTCTCTCTCTCTCTCTCTCTCTCTCTCTCTCTCTCTCTCTCTCTCGGTCGGGACGTTGCTGAGGTTTTTCTCCGGCCGTCCTCGCGGCTTTTCGTCGTCACTTCAACGGGGACTGCGTGCTGTAAGCGCTCAATGGACGCTCGATGCTAGCGAAGTTTTCACATAATATGTTTCGGATAATTAGCTTGGGGCAATTAATAGCTATGGTTGAGAAATCTGAGACGGAACCGTGTCTCCCGCTATGCATGGAGCCGGGCGCGAGCTCGAGTTCGGGACTCCAAACGCCGGTTAATGGGATCTTCCCCTCGCCAGAATCTGCGCTATGCATCGCGTGAATACGTAATAGTTGCTGCGTAATAATAACCTTAACTCGGATGTAACTCTGGTTACACAATTCCAAAACTCGTCGGACGGGAGCTATCAGGTGTCGTTACACAAGTTAATGAAGTGCAAAGCACGCGCTCTCTCTCTCTCTCTCTCTCTCTCTCTCTCTCTCCCCCTCTCTCAAGCGAGAGAGAGAGAGAGAGAGAGAGAGAGAGAGAGAGGCATGTTAAAAATGTGCACCCTCGTATTTTATCGCCAGATGTGTCGGATTTGTGCCGGAAGGCGCATTAGAAATCAAATGAAAAATTCGCGCGATTCTGCGAGCGTTCGCATCCGCGAGCGGATGTCAATTTAGATATCATAGGCGCGCGCGCAGCGTCGAGTATGCACGGAGGAAGCAAATCCCTAGCCTGAAGAACTCACTCGTAAGAACAGAGCAAGACTCCCGCGGAAGCTTCCTACTCGGTCAATCGCTCTCGGCCTCGAGCGAGTTTGTAGCGCAGCTTTGAATGCTCAGACGAACGTTTTCGGTCGTGGCAGCTCTCTCTCTCTCTCGTCGAGCTTTTCTCTCAAAGTCTCCTCCCTCTGCCTGTCCATCCGCGCGCTTGACTATTTATTTCCTCCAATTAGCCAATTACGTTTCGCTGAGCGTACCTTGTTCGTTGAACTTGCAGCTTTTCAGACGCTTCGCTATCAATACTTCTGTCGACTACTTCATGCCGCACGATCAATTTGCTCGGGCCACAAAGCGCACACGAGCGCGACTCCTCGAGTCCACGGCGCGCGAATGGCGCGTAACTACGCGAAAATGAATATTTAACGTGGCGGAGTGCGCTCGCGCGACACACAATCGGCCGGGCGCGCAAGTGGAAACTTCACGTACGCTCTCAGACGGGGAAACACGCAGCGGCTATCGCCGCCGCCGCCGCCGCCGCCGCCGCCGCCGCCGCCGCGCCGCCACCGCGGCGCCGCGCCGTGGATCTCTTTTTCGCTCCCGCAAGCTGCCGCTTTCCCGAGCTTGACGTTGAGCGAGTAGAGTCGCTCAAAGGACTTAAGCTCATTCGCGTAAAAGGAGAATGCGCGCGCTTAAACGTTTACGGGAAACAAATCGAGCCCTTCTGCCTCCGCGCGAATCATTTCCACCCGTCTCTATTTACCCGCGACCGTTGTTTCTCCGCCTCTCGCCGGCCGAATCCGCTCTTTCGCTCTCACCCGCGCTCACCCGCGAAGATCTAATCGCCGCCATGGCGATGTCATGATTTCGAGATGAAAGCTTCCCATCGCAGCAATGACGCGAGTCTCGCCATCGCTCGGGCTATAATTCAGCGCGCGGCGAATGCAAATGATATATTTGTCGACCACTTTTCTTCTCCTCCCTCCATCTCTCTCTCTCTCTCTCTCTCTCTCTCTCTCTCTCTCTCTCTCTCTTCGGCATCCGAGAGGCTGCTATTATTCAGCGTATGCAACGGCATGTTTTCGAGGGCGTTTTGCAAGAGTGTTTTCTCAGGAGGGCGGAACTCGAGCCCGACGGAACCGGCTGTCGCGCAGGACGCGCCTCGCTTCACCGTCCGGGAATCGGTTTTTGCCGCGGATGCACGACGTGCGCACGAGTTACAAAGAGTTTCTCGCGAGTCACGCGAGAAGCAGCGAGTCCGATCGAGTCCTGAGCGAACAATCGCGAAGACGAACGTCGTCCTCGCGGAAGCACCGGTCTCCGCGTCTCGGGCTAAGCTGTGGCGAGATCGGCGAGATTGAGAGATCAGAGTAATCGAGTAATAACTGTGCGAAGTCTCGGCACGCACGCAACGCTTTCGTGTGTGGCGTGCTTTTTTACCTTTCCGGCGATACGTCACACCTTGGGCAGTCTCTTGAGCCACTCTCCGTCTGCACAAGCCTCTCTCCTCGGCTAGCTCTCTCTCCGGGCTATCTCGCGATACGGGGTGGCGGGACGAGCGAGAGTACTGGCGGACGCCTCTCTCTTTCTCTCCTTCTCCCTCTCTATCTTCTCCTCTCTGTCACACGTACATCACACCGAGACGGGCATAGTCGGGGGGGGGGGGAGGGGCGAGCGGCTGAGGAACCGTAATTGCGGGTCGTCGCGGCGAAAGAAGCGTTCGAGGCGCGGACACAACTGCGGCCGGGACGCACGGGGAGGGGGGGGGGGGGCCGAGTGTTCACCGCGATCGTTCACCGATTCGCGCGTGTTTCTTCACGCTTCCGGCCTCTCCTCGGCGAGGAGGCGCCGCGCCGTGGCGTGCCGTGCCGTGCCGGCGACGCGCACGAATTTGGTCACGAGCTCGGCGTCGGGCTCAGTCTCTCCGGCGGGGACTGAGAGAATACGGGAGGTTCTCACGTTTCACGACGTGGCGCGCCTCGTCCACGTCCGCGAATCCCTTCAGCCGCGGCCGTTGCACCGACCAGGGACCGATGCTTTTAGCTCGAGGGTCGTCGCGGTACTGCGAGACGAGCGAGCGCGAGACCCGTACGCGGCGGTCGCTCTGAGAGAGAGAGAGAGAGAGAGAGAGAGAGAGAGAGAGAGAGAGAGAGAGAGCGAGGGAGAAAGCGCGAGAGCGAGAGCGAGGGAGAGAGGGAGAAAGAGAGAGAGAGAGAGATCCTCGCCGCGCTGCCCGCGCACCTTATAGGCACCCTCATGCTTGCGCCGACTCACCCCGTTGGTCGATTTCAAACCCGCGCGCTCTCTCTCGCGCGCGCACCGCCGATATTCTCGCGCGAGAGCGTATTATTTTTTCGCGCGCTCGAAAAAAAATCGCGCTTGCAATTTCGACGCTCGGCTGGGAGCGCGATCGACTGGCGGACAGACTGGACGAGCGATCGGACGGATCGCGGGCGTCGAGGGCGGACGAGAACCGGCGGGGCGAAATCCGACATCGCGGCGAGCGGACGCGTCGAGATCTACGGGGTGCTTGAAATGTGGTCGCGAGTTGCGTCGCGTTGCGTCGCGCGCTTAGAACGACGAGGTTCGACTCGGAACTTTAACGTTTAACAACGTTACATCGCCGATCGAGCGGCGAAAGCCGCTCGGCGGTGTGACTCGAAGTAAGTTACGGTAAGTTACAACGCGCGTCGAATGTGCGACGGAAGGAAGAACTGCGCCGCGAGGAAGCATGGCGAAGTGTCTATTTTTACTTCCGCCGCGCTCGGTTTTCTCGCCGCTTAGGCGTACAGGACGGCGAACTCGCGGCTGAGAGGGCGAATGCGATTTCGGAAAAGCCACGCTATTTTCCGTACTTATCGCGCGCGCACACGCAAGCCGAAGTTGGATACACAAATAACCCGCCGTATTGCCGGGCGTATATCCGCGAATAAAGTTTGCCGAAGGGAAGCGGCGAAAAAAGTTTGCACGGAAGAAACGATTGATTTGCGAACTCTCGCAATGTAAACGCCCCGCGCTTTTCGTTACCGGCCAGATTTAAAATCATGAATTATTAAAACGTCAATGAATAAAATGTTTCCGAATGCGCGGCGTCTCGTGCCGCGCTCTGCGAGACACGTACACACACACACACACACACACACACACACACACACACAAAGAGAGTGAAAGAGAGAGAGAGAGAGAGAGAGGGAGGAAGGCGAGAGAGAGACAGAGAAAAAGACGCGTCCCACTCCACCGAGTTTTATTTCGCCAATTGCGTGACGACGAGGCACTCACAATTTTCCTTCCCATCGAGCGTCCTCGTCTGATGTCTGATGCGCCGACGCCGCGAATAAAAAGCTTCGCTGAAATTTTTTTCCGTTTTTGCCCGTTGGACAATTACCAGCGCGTTAACGCGTGGTCATCGGGGGCGAGCTCGGAGCGGAGGAGAGAGACGAGCGGGTCTCTCGTTACTGCGAGACGGCTGTTCTTCCGACACCGTGATGCGAAAGGGAAAGAGGAAGAGGGAGAGAGAGAGAGAGAGAGAGAGAGAGAGAAAGAGAGAAACCGAGCGGGAGTCGTTGATCTATCGTTTTCCGTATTGAAATCGTTCTATCCGGTATCGCGAAGTAACGAGAAAGCAGCCTCGCTGACACTCGGCCAATACTCGATCCCGAGGACGAAGAATGAAAAATACACAGGCGAGTTTTCTTCGGCGCTCGTCCGCGTCGCATCCATTACGTTCTTTTCTTTTTTCAGCCGAGTGGCTTTTAATTACGGGCATAATTCTCGTCGCTATTGACATATTCGTGTCGTATTCGTTTGCGTCGCTGCGCCGACGACGACGACGACGACGACGACGACGGCGGCGGCGCAGCGCAGGTCCAACGTCGAAGAAATGTTCTCCACCGAATTGTAAACGACCGATTTTCCTCCGAAAATTATTTTCCTCGCCGTGCGCGACGGCGAGGGAGAGAGAAGGACTTATATTTCATTTTTCCGTCCTCGCGTGCGAGATTCGCTGAGGTTTGGCATTGCTGAACAAATGAATTCCGCTGCAAGCACTACGTCAAACATACGCGCGCACACAATACACACACACACACACACACACACACACACACACACACGTCCTCTATTTGCACTTACAGCCGAAATACTCTGCATCGTGTACGCTCGCTCGCTCGTTCGCTCGTTCGCTCGCTAGTTTTAACGCGGTAATAGATTAAAGAATGCATCTGTCCACGCGTTCGCAAATAGTCAGAGGTATCATCTTTTCGGTCTTTGCTTCTCAAATATTAGGAGTTCATTCGTCGCATCATTCAGACGATTCGGCTGCCTCGAGGGACAAGTCATTCTGCGGACGCGCAGTCCACAACAATTATCCGGCAAGCGAGTAACGGTGGCCGATACTCTCAACGCGGCATGTCTCGTCACTACTAACCCGTTAAATCCCAAGGTAAATGTTTGGGAATGCTACCGCACCGCAACATGCGTGGTCTCTTTCCTCGTAATCAAGAAGCAAGTTGTAAAAAGAAAGATATACGTTTTTAAGGCGGCCTTAAGGGAAATCCGAAATATTTGCTCCACGTCGGCTTTGTTTCCCGTGCTTTCCCGGCGCGAAGCCAAATTTACAACTATACTATTTCGCATAAGTTTCCGTGCAAACTAAAATTCATCCCCTCCGACCCTAACCAGATTTAAGCCTAAGTAAACCGAACCAAACCCAATGAAACTAATCCTAGGTTAGAAAATGTACGCTTCGAGCGATAAGAAATTACGGTAAATTTAGTTTGGCTTCGTTAGGTTAGGTCCTGTGGTTAGGTTTGGTTAGGGTTTGGATATGAACTTCGGTTTGCGTGGAAATTTGCAAACTTGTGTGTGTGAAATATAATTATAAATTTGGCTTTGCGCGAAAAGCAGCGGTCGATGCTGCGAGCACCACCACCGCGTCGTGGACGTCGGACTGCCTGCGGCATAATTTTCGTCCCCCTTGCGCGAAGGGCAACGGCCAAGCCTCGGCTGCTCGGCTTTCCCAGCGGTAAAGTAAAGCGAGGTTCTTTTTACGGCGCCTCGCCGAGAGGAAGAGAGAAATCGCACGCGGGAGCTCGGAAGAAATCACACCATTTGACACCATTCATATTTAATCGGCACATAACGAGTACAAATTCGTGTCGTTCGCGGCGGACTCGCAGGCCGTCCGAGAGTTATTATACAGGGTGTTGAAAAAGAAGGATCCCTGACTTGCGGATAGTACTTGTTGTACCGAGTAACAAGTGCTCTGTAAACGAAGATCGAAAATTTCGTCCTCTCAGAGTTGCAAATGTTTTCCGGTTTTGACTATGCGAGTTCTTTTTGTGCGCTTCCATTGATTGCGCGCGATAAACAGACGAGCGAGAGAGTATCTTACCGTATTGTTATTTTACTGTTGCTTCATCTACACAATGAGCGTCTCGTACTTGTAGTTGGAATAGAATTGCAAACTCTTCCAAAAATGCTCTCCTCTCTTCGAATCTGCTCGGCTATATCTTGAATTCGATGATGTACAATTCTTGCATATCATTTAACGAACAATCCAAGCTTTCCATATATTTCATGAAAGGAAATCCAGCTTATGGAAACAGACACTCGCGTCACCAGAATTGAGAAAACATTTACAACTCTGAAAGGGTTGATTTTTCGATCTTTGTTTACTAAGCACTGTTTACCCAACACAGTGAGTGCCATCCTCCCCGTGAGTCTGAAAGTTTCGACTCTTCTTTCGGAACACCCTGTACAACATCTCGGTCACGTCGGCCGTCGCCACGGCAGCCCGCTCGAATTCCGCGGCGACAATTAATACCCGCGCGCGGTTAATAATCGCTCGCGTCGCTGTCCTGAGACTTCCGCAGGATGGAGCGCGAACATCCGATTTCTCTCTCCTGAGAAACACAATACAAATTGTGCCGGGCACAATACAAAAACACTCAGCGCGCAGATAACGCCGAACTATAAGGAGCAACGCGAAGAGCGAGACTAACGCGAGGACAAACGTGGACCTCGAGGAGCAATCGAAGGCTGAAAGCAAGTGCGCGCAAACAGATCGGACGCGATAAACAATTGGACGCCAGACTAAAAGGGTCGCGCGCACACAAGTTCGGCCGACCGCGAGGATCGCGCGACGTCCAACGCGGCCATTGTCAGCCGACCGACCCACGCCGCCAAATCGAGGCCTAACCCGAGCGAAACGGCGGGAAAGCTTTTCCCAACTCGAAGCCGATTTTCGTACGCACGGCCGGAACGAGTTCTACGCGAGCTTTCCCTCTCTCCTCTTCCTGTTCCTCCTCGTAGTCGACCAAGTTGGACGGCACTTTTGCGCCTCGCAACGCGCCGGCTGTCCACGCGCAGTGAGCACAGTGAGCGGCCGATCTGGAGCTAGCAGGATCTAGAATCCCCTCTTGCGAGGTTGACATTCCGCGCATTATTGATCCGGCGGATCCGCCTTGTCGATTTTGGCCGCCGCCGAGACCGCGAATTTTCGAATTCCTCCTATCGGATCTTCGATCGCCTATTTTCACCGTGACAGACCTCAGGTAGGCCGTCGGTTCCTCGGCAGAGGCATCCGGAACTGCTTCCGGTCTCTGGAGACGGTTATCGGTCTCTCCGACGGATATTCGGAAAATCTCCCTCGCCATGGCGAGATGCGTCGCTGTTCTGCCCGGCTCCCCTCAGCGGCCACCGCTCGCTCGTTTCGCTCTCCCGCGTTGTCGGCCCCGCTTCCTCTGTTTTTCTTTCGTCGCGATGCGCTTTTGATGATGTAACTAAATAATAGCCGCGGGAGATCTAAAAATTTTTGCTCCGCCGTTCCCCGATTTAAGGGTGCGCGAACATCCCCATTCAGCCCTTCTCTCGGCTGGGCTAGTGGCCCAAATTGCGGCTGGAAAATTCACCACGTCGCAATGTCGAGCAAAATATCGTAAGCCTCCTCTTAAAGATTTATATATTATATATATTTTCTAAGAACTTATTTTGCTACTTGATTACTACGAAGAGAACCGCGGTCTCTTCTTTTTTGCCGCAATCTTCAAACAT